GATATACCACACGGGAGTCATTCGCAAACGCCTAATGCCTATAGAATTCATTGGCGACAAAGAACTGCCAGAAAGTATTGCCATTCAAAACATCACAACAAATGAATCCAAAAATGTGGGCAAATTCCGCAACAATTCAGGTGTTTATGGTTTAGCACTTCTTCGGTTCGAGGATTGCCTTAAAACCGATAAATTATCTTTGAATGAAAGCGGACTAACCATCCGATGCTCTAAACCTTTTTGGTGGCCTAAAGAGCATCGAATCGATCACATCGTCAAGAATTGATCCCTACTTCGAGTGTCTTCTCTTATATCCTATCTTTAATAATAAGATTTGTTTAAGAAATGAATGTATTGTTTGTTAATTGCAATCAAATTGTAGTCAAATAAAAGTTAATCACAAGTTATAGGAGTAAAAGCCGATACCGTTTTGCCGGCACTTATTTGGACGTCATTTGTGAGCGAATCATAAGTTTTAGTCAAATATTGTGTTTTTAATCAGATTTTGAAACAATCATTGATTTAAAGATTAAATTGAATTGAAATGCAATTCATTTGCCGAAGAAGTGCAGCAATAGTGAGACAATCGCTTATCGGTTGCCATAAGTCACGGCTTTTGTCCACAAAAGGCAACTCAAGCGATGACCAAAACCACGATATCTACGACCCCGTGTCCAACGAGCCGGAGATCCCATCATCTCTTCGGCAAAGACTGGAATCGATTGATATGAAGAAGAAAAGGCTTTTATATCAGAGCAGAAAACGAGGTATTTATTGATGACATTGAAAAACAATGGTTTCATTTGCAAACTCACGAGTTGTTTATGTTTTGAAGGTATTCTTGAAAACGATCTCATTTTAGGCAACTTTGCGAACAAATATTTGGATCAAATGAGTGATAAACAGTTAGAAATGTATGATTTAATCATTAATATGCCGTCAAATGATTGGGAACTCTATTACTGGTCTGTCGGCCGAAAAGAAGTGCCGAAAGAGATGAGCAACGAAGTGATGGATCTATTGATTGAATACACGAAGAATCGGGACAAAGAGGTTAGGATCAGACAACCGGACGTCTGATTATCGCTACCATTAAACCACTTTTATTAGCCGTAAAAGTATTACCACAAAGATATCCAATTATTAAATAATTAGTTCATTAATATAATACATATTTAATTCAATAATGTTTAGACTTTTAATAAAATTAGTCTTTGAAATAAATAATCAAATCTTTATTTGACTCGATTTTTATATACAATTAATGACTACATAAACACTACATAACATAACATCCGGTTTATCATAAGATTAATACTTTAGGTCTAAAACTTATGCTTCAATTATTTATTGTTAATCTCTAAATCAAATTGTGTTTGAAGTCTAATTGGAGGCCATAATGAAAGCGATTGCCGACAATACAGTCAAACCTAAAGCACCAGAAATAATGGGTTAGTTATGACAGAAAAGAATGGTAAGAATGAGGACATCACAGACCGATCACTAGATAACCAGAAGTGTACAACTCTTTGATACTGAATCCATAGCCGAAATCCCAACTCAAATGTCGGACACCATTGAGTGTGTGATACGCTAGAGATGTGGCTAAAGAGAGAAAGAGTAAGAAGTGATGTCACCATTGGGTGATCCAAACAGTCATCTCTTAAATACCAGTCAACACTTGAACGGTGAAGATCAGAGAGTGCGGAACCGTTGTCTGAATGGATTGCAACACTTGAGCGAAGTTAGTGTTGTGTGAGTAGAGGGCGGCGATACCGCCGCCGTAGACGAGCGCCGATAGGGCCAGACCTGTCATGCGGTGACTGAAGGACAGGACGGAAGTGACCTGAAGCTTGTAGTTGATCCACGGGCTCACCGGGCGGTTCAGCGCCGCGTTTTTGGCGAAGTAGTCGTCCTGAGGGCTCACCGACGAGGAAGTGGTGGCCAGTCGTACGGCTGCCGACCGCGGAGTCGACATGAGGACACGTCTGAGCACTACATTCGTAAGCATTGTCTCAACAATTGGTTGCAATTAATGTCTCAATCGATGGCTTATTATCTCCACATTCACTGAAGTCTTGAGTGTTTTCTTATCGCTTATCAAACCAAACACTTGGCGACACTTTTTTGTGGATGTTTTGCATTCAATTTCAATGCTTTGTTTCTACAAATAGTTTGCATTCATTGTATTCGCTATACTTTTATATATCTAAATAACGTTCATTTAATACATGAGTTTAATTTAATGCAATTAATTAATTACCGATTGTTTATAATTTGTTTGTTTTAATTATTTAATTAAAACCATTTCTTGTAAACCATTTAATGGAAATTATAATTACAATTAATTTAATAAATTATATGATTTATAAACGAGTAATAAATTGATTAAAAGCCGTAATTTATATCCAGTAAAATATTTTTCAATACATTTAATGAATTTGTTTTGAAAATTGGTTTAAATTTAAAGTAAATTAAAGTATGAATTAAGACATGAATTGTCTTCATATTAGACACCAATTGTAAGTCAATCTTATAA